ATAAAGCGTATGTGCTAGTAGCACATACGCTTTCTACTGTCTGGGATTCCGTCCAATTCCGGTGGTAGGTTTCGGCCGCTGGCTTTTCGGTTACCACCCACCAATGCAAAGTCTTGCCGCCAAATGACTTTGTCGTGTTCCGGCATGATGCTTGGTGAAGCCATATGGAGAATGGGTCTGAACAGTAGCGTTGTGTATGTAAACCGGGTACGAAGCGTCAGTTGTTGCTGTGTCGGGTGCTTGGTCATGGAGGGTAGCGGGATCCGAAGCACGGTGTTCCGCTGGCCGACCGCAGGTAGTTGGGGTCCCAATTAGTGAATTAGCTGCTCATGAAAGGCTGCCCCGCCAACTGGCGAAAAATCCCAGGGTGGCCTCATCGTGCCGGTTAGGAACCGGGCGAGAGGACTCGATGGCGATCTCTGGGTGGATTCGGGAGTCCCCGCAGTCTCCAGATCAAGCTCCCATGGGTACAGTAACTCTGATAGTATCGTTTGGTTGCTAATGCAATGCCTCGCTCAACTGCTATTCTCCATCCTTATTTACTCTCAACACTTAATATGTACATAAAAAAGAAAAGTAGTGTTAAACAGCGGTTGCACGTCCTCTCACTAAAAGTGCACCTCACTAATATTCGAGGTGTCCACTCTAATCTCAGCGCAGTCCATCACCATCTTGAGACTGAAAGGCCGCACCTACTTTTCTTGACAGAGACGCAAATTGTGTCCATTGAGTGTGGCGTACCTTGACTCTCCTGGATTCTCTCTGGAGCACAAATTCCATCCACGTGCCGGAGTATGTGTGTACGTCCGCAATGACATCTGCTTCCAGTGTCTCTGTCACCTTGAAGACCCCACTTTTTCGACAATCTGGGTGATGGTAGATACAGATATTGATAAAATCCTTTATGCCTGTGTCTATCGATCGCACAGCGGTGACCAGGAGACAACACAATTATTTGATCACCTAAGTGAGGCTGATGACGTGGCCCTAAATCGGTATCCTACTGCACAGTTGGTCTTTCTGGGGGACTTTAACGCTTGTCACCAAGACTGGCTGTTCCCATACCAAAAGACCGACCATGCTGGAAGAGAAGCGTGGAATTTTGCTTTGACGCTAAGTCTTTCTCAGATGGTAAAGGTGGCGACTAGGGTACCTGATGTAGACGGTCACACAGCAAATTGCTTGGACCTTCTGCTGACTACCGAATCAGACAGATATGAAGTACAGGTTACTTCTCCTTTGGGTACATCTGACCACTGTCTGGTGAAATCTGTATCGTCATATTCTCCACCTGATTACGAGTCCCAAGGTGTTCGACGATTATGGCGGTATAAGTCAGCTGATTGGGATGAGATGCGACAGTTTTTGCATCTTATCCTTGGCGGGAGGTCGGTTTCTCTTCTGCGGATCCGTCGAGCTACGCAGTTGCGATAACGGATGTGTTGCGTCAAGCTATGGAATACTTTATCCCCTTCTCTGACGCTCCCACCGGTAGCAAAGCTCGCCCATGGTTTAACGCTGAATGCGCCCAAGCTGAAAAGCGCAAGCATTTAGCTTACCTATCCTGGGTTGATGCTCGAAACCGCAAAGCTCCGGATATTAGCTCCAAGAAGAGAACTTTCAACGAGACCGCCAAGTCCTACAAAAAAGCATTACGGAAAGCTAGTCTAGATCTTTTTATTTCTTATTTGTTTTAAAGATGATGAAATGACGGCTCCGTGGCGCAGTGGCTTAGCAATCAGTTGTTGCGCTGGGGGCCGCGAGTTCGAATCCCGCACGGTACAAGTATTTGTATGGCCTGCAAATAATTGTTCCGGGTCTGGATGTTTGTCCTTGTGCAATTTATGTTTGTAAACTGCCTCCATGACACAGGAGAAAATCCTAGTGTGGGGGTAAGGTTTTTTTAAAAAAAGAAAAAAGATCTCATTAAACATTGGCGCAAAACTCTCTGCCAGACCATCCGGCACTAGAGCTTTTTGGTGTCTCGCCAAAGCGGTCTTGACAAACTCCTGTCGGCCTACACTGCCTCCGTTGGTAAAACCCGATGGCACACTGGCGCATACGGCTAAGGAGAAAGCGGACTTGTTCGCGTCTCTCTTTGCCTACAATTCACGTCTGGACAGTGGCAACAACGTTCCACGAAAATTACCTCACTGCGGGACCTCTATGTCGGAGATTCGTATAACGAATAAGGTTATTTAAAACCTTGCGGTGTCTAGACTTGAATAAAGCTAGTGGACCAGATGGTATACCAGCTATAGTCCTAAAGGCTTGTGCACCTGAATTGTCTCCTGTGTTGACACGCTTGTTCCGTCTCTCACTTAGTACTGGAATAGTGCCAAAATCCTGGAAGCTGGCCAACGTGCAGTCAGTTCCAAAAAAAGGCAGCCGCGCCGACCCTGCCAATTATCGGCCAATCTCAATTCCCTCCATACTCTGCAAGATTATGGAGCGTATATTAAATGGTATACCTAGAACGGAATGACCTCCTTAGTGACCGGCAATATTGGTTTCACCGAAATCGGTCAGCTGGGGACTTTCTAGCGTATGCCACACACGTATGGGGCGAGGCACTCGAGAACAGTGGGGAAGCACTTGCTGTTTCCCTTGATGTCTCGAAGGCCTTTGACAGAGTTTGGCACACTAGCCTTTTGGGTAAGCCTCCAGCGTACGGCTTATCCCCTGGTCTGATTGAATGAGTAAAGGACTTTCTGAGTGAACGGTCTCTCCGAGTCGTCGTAGATGGCTGCTCATCCGATCCTATGGCGACTAACGCCGGTGTTCCTCAGGGGTCCGTTTTCGCCGCGACTCTCTTCCTGATGCATATTAATGATCTGCTTATGCCCGGTATCTATGGGTATGCAGACGATAGCACAGTTGTTGAGAGATACCAACCAAGTCCTCGAGCCAGTCGGCATCAAATCCAGTCCGAAAGAGAAGCTATGGTAGAGCGTGTGAATCTCACACTACAGGCAGTCTCCGATTGGGGCGATGCTAATCTTGTGAAATTCAACGCCTCCAAAACACAAGCGTGTCTTCATGCAAAAAGGAGCCAGCTCACCTTGGCTACTTCTTTCCGAAATGTATCACTGAAATATACCGACCACCTTCGGTTGTTAGGGTTTTGAAATATCCTCATATTTGAACTTCGGGCGGTTCATTGAGTCCAAGGCCAAAGTAGCTGCAAGAAAGCTGCGAGTCCTTGCAAAGGTGCGGCGATACTTCACGCCGGGACAGCTGCTTACTTTATATAAAGCGCAAGTCCGGTCGTGCATGGAGTATTGCTGCCATATATGAGATCGTGCTGCAAAATGCCACCTATTAGCTTTGGACTCAATGGAAAGGCGTGCTAAGAGGCTTATTGGTGACCCGAGTTTGGTTAAAACCAATCTTGCCAGCCTCGAACACAGACGTAAAGTAGCCAGCCTTTTGGTTTTCTACAGGATGCATTTCGGAGAGTGTGCGCAGGAATTACATAATTTAATTCCCCCCTCTCCCTTCCACCATCGGACAACCAGATGTTCAGCCAGTCTCCACCCTTTCGTTGTTGACTTACCATGCATTCGAACCAAACAGTTCGCCACGTCGTTCATCATGCGTACAGCAAAGGAGTGGAATAAGTTGCCAGCATCTGTGTTTCCATCCGATTACAGTGTGGGTGTCTTCAAGACAAAAGTGAATAGGCTTTTCTTAAGTCAGTGCGCTTCACCATCTTAGGCTACATCACCACTTACCATCAGGTGGGATCGTAGATAAGCGCTGGCTTAGTAGAATATAAAAAAAAATTCCGTCTTGGTATTGGAGTAAGAGTAACTTGTCTGGTGGTGGTCATTACCCCATTTCGTCCAGAGGATTTTTTATATAAGAGGAGCTAACGAGCATGCGGCTCATCTGATGGTATGTGACTACCGCCGCCCATAAACAAATGCAACACCATGGGAATTGCAGATGCCTTGCCGAAAAGAGGACGACAATTGACGATCTGCATTGTCGATCTGTATATTTTATCTGTAAGGATATCCATAACAGTACCGTGGGTGTCGCAGAGGGCAACAAACCAGGAAACAGGCAGCAGTGTATTCCCAATAACAACTATAAAATAAAAAACTGCGGTTGGCAAACCGCTTGCCAAACGTGGAAACTATGTGAAATATCTCCTCTATAAGGCAATCTATAGGAGAGGGCTATGTTCTGCAGTAAACTTTTAAAAGGACATAACATTGACAGATTATGTACTCTTTAATTTTCAAATAATACAAGATTTTTTCATCTATTATGTCATTGCCTTACAACTTACAACCTTTCCTTGCCTTACAACTTAGGTTTTTACGTGATAGTTTTTTTTTTATAGGATAGGGGTGACAAACGAGCATGCATTCAACCTGATGGTAAGTGGTTGCTGTGGCCCATAGACATCTGCATCTATCCTCTATTACAAATCAATATGCAGATGCGTTGTCACCCTTGCGGACTAAGATAGAATGCCTCATTTCCAGTAAAAAGGGTCTCCGGTTCTCTACACTCACCATTCGAAACACAGCAGCGTTAAGCTGCTATTTTACGCTAGTATTCTGTGAGAGCGTGGTCCTTCCCCGGTCGAGCCGACCCATTCGTGCTACTTATATAGCTGCAGCATGGCTCAGCCACGTACAAATGTGCCAAGTGCCACGCTACAGCTATAGTATATGGCTATGAAAAGAATGGATCGGATTTTACAGATTACCAGCGTGAAACAATACTTGTAAGTGCTGCTGTGTTTCGTGTGGTAAGTGTAGAGAACCGTAGGCTCTTTTTACTGGTAACATCTTAGTCCTCAATGGTGACAACAAGACTGCATTTTGATTCTTAAGCGATGATGAATGTAGATGTATATGTGCCACAGCATCCACTTAACCAAGATTTAGTTATAAAAGTAAAATTTAAATTTAGACTTTAGTTTTATGATTAAAGTTTTGTCAACATTTAAATCCCATGATTGAACCCATATTGTTTGTCCGCAGGTGTACCACATGTGCGACGGTCTGGGCCGTCAGTTCAGCTACTCGTGCCCCAACACCACGCTGTTCCAGCAGCGCATGCTGGTGTGCGACCACTGGTACATGGTCAATTGCTCCAAATCGGAAAGTGACTACGATGCTAACTTACTCATTGGTGAGAACGCTACTTACACTTATTTTTATACATATAAACGAATGGATCGGCTCGACCGGGTAAGTACCACGCTCTCGTAGAATACCAGCGTAAAATAACAGCTTAATGCTGCTGTGTTTCTTAAGTCTATGAGCCATAACAGCCTTACCATCAGGTGGACTGTGCTCGAATTTCCCGGCTGGTAAGACTACTGGGAAATAGAAAAAGAAATAGAAACTTTTTTTATTGAATAAAGATTTTAAATAATATTTATTGAAAGTCACTCTTGTTTAATTTACCACTGGTTCGGAAATAACCCTCTGTCCTGGTAGGAATCATCAAGAAACCCAACGGGACTTTTTTTAAAAATAACAGCTTGCAATCATCAATATGTTACATAATTAACAACACAAAACAAATTAGAAACAGCCTGGTAGCGATTATAATAGATTATATTATAGATTTATATTATATAGATTATACGAGTAATAAAGCTTTTTATTCAAACTTAGTTTAATAAAGTTTTTGAACTTTGAACACGTCACATTTTGTATACCTACTAAGAATGAATTACTTACTCGGTGGAGTCTAGTAACTGGTACTACTAGCTTGTGTCTGTTCCTAGTATTTACAGAACGCATATCACTTATTTTTATATAACTTATTTTATTTTCGTGTAAATACATTACATTTTCATAAATATATTGAGAGGCCAAAGTTAATATATTTTTTTTATAGGATAAGGGTGACAAACGAGCACACAGTCCACCTGATGGTAAGTGGTTGCTGTGGCCCATAGACATCTACATCTATCTTCGATTAAGAATCAAAATGCAGATGCATTGTCACCCGTGAGGACTAAGATGGAATGCCTCGTTTCCAGTAAAAAGGGTCTCCGGTTCTCTACACTCACCATACGAAACACAGCAGCGTTAAGCTGCTATTTTGCGCTGGTATTCTGTGAGAGCGTGGTCCTTCCCCGCTCGAGCCGACCCATTCGTGCTACAACCATAATATAGCTGCAGTATGGCTCTACCACGTATAAATTTTTTATATTAATTTCCTTAAATTTTTGTCTGAGCGTACCCTTCAGGTTTTAAATCATAGATTGCTCTTATGGCCCTCTTCTGTAAAACTAATATAATTTCAGTGTCAGTGAATATTCTTACACCGCCACTACACGATAAACAATCTATAAAAATATTGTCATTATAAAAACTACCGTTTGTATGAGGATTAAAAAATACAAACAATACACCTTCAAAGATGTTCGAGCAACAACGCCTTAATCGTTTGCGTTAGAACGGGCTTTCACTTTCGTCTTCGGAAGCTGAGGCCGTATGTTAATGTACTAATGTGAACAGCGACCTTTGTCGATGGGTCGCGCTACTATGTATTAAGGCCAATTTGCACTAAGCGAACGGCATTACTGAGTAAAAATTTGACTTTAAGCTCGTTCATGCTTGAGGGTGAGTTTAATATAGATAAAATTTAAGGTTAACATTATTATAAGGTAAACATAAAAAAATCGCGTTATTCTTATTTTTTATCTATTTATGTAAACTCCACAAGACACAGAATCAATCATAGTGAGTTCATAATTAACTGAAATATCTTCCAGTAACTATGTGCGGAGTTCTTACAATGTATTCCTTCACCAGTAAGCATTTGGTGAATCAGCTCTTTGTTACTTTGAATAATAATGAACAATAATGATATTTCCTAAAGAGAAGGCTAAGGCCACCTGTGGAATTTAACGGGCTGATAAAGATGAAGAATAATAACAGTTTTATAAGAACTTGATTGACCACTGCGCACAAAAAGTTAGATTTTTCTTAGTCGATTGCGGTGGAACCTATAAAAGACAGTGATGTTTTCCACTGGTAGTATGATGTAATAATCGTTCTATGACAGTTAACATACATAAATTGCACAAGGACAACATTCAGATCCAGAAAATATCATATGCATATCATACAAATACTCGACGGGTTCGAATTCGCGACTCTCAGTGCCGCAATTTGATGCTAAGCCACTCTGCTACGGAGACCTCATTAAATTAGTCCTCATTATCTTGTATGGGTAGCGTCAACATAAAATAAATATGATGGGCATGAACTATCAAAAACTTTCGGCCTATAAAAATAATAATATGCAAATGTAACGTGAATAGTATTTAATAATAAGTTAGCAATTTAAGGTCCGAAAAGTTGCCTATTATAGAATAAAATACAACGTAAATAAATTAAAAATTACGTTTGTATAAATAAAATAGTTCAAAGAGGGCAAATAATCTTCAGTCCACCAGATGTCGCTAGTTGGGACTAAGGTGAAGCTTTTTGTTACATAATGTCATTTAATTGAGAATTTAGTTATAAATAAAAGTTTATCAGTTTCTAGAGTATTATATTAATGCATAAAACAACGTTTCTGTGGTTTACTATTTAATTTTTTTTTTCACATTTTTAACTCTTTTAAAAAAAGTTTACTTTTAGGAATATCCGTGGTATGGTTTTTCATTTCTAATCTAATTAATATAAAATATAAGACTGAACATAAACCTTTACGTTTTCCTAACAAATTAAGTTCGTGTATATTTATGAAAGTCCAATATTTCATCTCATTGCAAAGTGATACCGGCCTGGTCGCAGAAAACGTCGTGGATAGCGTCATTGTTTGATCTATACATTTAATCCGAACTAGAATTTTTCTGACGATTGAAAAATCGTGCATTTGATAAATATATTTTATTTTATATATTATATTAATTTTGTATATATATATATTGATATATATGTGTTGTGTGTATATTTATGTATATATGTTTATATATATGTGTATATGTCTGTATATGTATATATGTGTATGTATATGTGTATATGTGTATGTATATGTATATATTATATGTGTTAGTAATTTATATTATTTCATGTATTACTTAGTTATTTATATCTTTTTTTTTTGCATTTATTATTTGTATATTTATATTGCACCACCTACCACCTACCTATTCATTGTTTGTATTACTTTACACCTTTGGTTGCCTGGAAGAGATCGCTATGTAGCGATAAGGCCGCCAAATTGTACATATTATAATCTGATTTTTGTTATGACATTTGTATATTTGTTCGTGGTGTACAATAAAAGTATATTCATTCATTCATTCATTATATTTCATAAGAATACATTCTACGAATGAAAGCGTACCTTACGTTCTTAAGCTAAAAAAAATCCGATTATATCATAACAAGATTACAACCTATTCTGAACCTTGTTCTGATTATTAATACTCGTATTTGTAGTGGAAACGGAAATGTCGGGGAATGGTTATTCATTGCCTGCCTCGTGAGGAAGCTACATCACCACTTACCATCAGATGGGATTGTATAAAAAAAGCACTATATTACTTGCGGGCTTTGCGTATACTCATTACTCGGGGTCTCATGTTTTTTTTTTATAGAATAAGGGTGACAAACGACCACACAGTCCATCTGATGGTATGTGGATGTTAGCCCATAGACATCTGCATCTATCATCGGATAAGATTAAAAATTCAGATGTGTAGTCACTCCTAAGGACTAAGATGGAATGCCTAGTTTCCAGTAAAAAGGGTCTCCGGTTCTCTATACTTACCAAACGATAAGCAGAAGCATTAAGCCGCTATTTACGCTGGTATTCTGTGAGAGCGTGGTCCTGCCCCGGTCGAGCCGACCCATTCGTGCTACAACCATAATATAACAGCAGCGTGGCTCTACCCCACGTATAAAATGTATAACTGTTAGATCCATAACAAAAATATTCGCAGTAGAAACAGAATAGACTAAGGAAAACTAATCAATTATCAAGTGGTAAAATTAAAAATTTTGATAACTCCCAAACTAAGAGTACTAGTCAGCTCTTGATCAAATTTATATGGGACCAAATGAGAAGCACCAGCTTTCAAATAAAAAACAAGAATCATCAAAAACGGGTTAAACTAGAAAAAAAAATCTGAGGTAACACACTTAAAAAAAGAATGCAGTCGTATTGAGAACCTCCTCCTTTTTTGAAGGCTGTTGATAACTGTAGACTGCCTTCGTAGCTCCAAAACTAATAGCTATAGAAAAACTGTTTCTGAATGACAAAAACAGAAACTTTTTTATTCAATATAGATTATAAATAATACTTATTGAAAGTCACTCTTTTGTTTAATTACCACTGGTTCGAAAAAAAAACCTCTGTCCTGGGAAGAACCAGCAAGAAACCCAGCGGGACTTTTTTTAAATAACAGCTTACAATCATGTAATCACAATTAACCACACAAAAAAAATTAGAAATAGCTTGGTAGCGATCACCTCATTACCATGGGTTGTCATCCATAAATTTCTTAATATTATAATATATAACTAATAATAATATATAATTTTTTGAACTTTGAGCAGATCATATTTTGTATATTTTCTGGGATTTTGTTGTAAAAGCGTATACATCGCCCCAAGAATGAATGACTGACTCGGTGGAATCGAGTAACTGGTAGTACTAGCTTGTGTCTGTTCCTGAAATGACTCACCAAAAAGCAAACATTAAGCTGCTATTTTAATTTTATTTATTCTGTGAGAGCGTGGTCCTTCCCCGGCCGAGCTGACCCTTTAGTGCTATAATCATAATCGCCCGTCAGTACACTGCAGGTTATGAATGTTGTAGGAAGGATTTGTATTAATTGTAATGGCAGGCGGATTGACAACCTCGGTGACAGACGTCTCGCAACTTTGGCTCTGCAGCCTGTCTCCGGTCTCCGTATTACGTCAGACCTACACGAGATGAGTACTTAACATCTGTCGAAAACCGTGAAATGCGGGATAGTATTCGTCCGCTCACTAGATGTCGCTAGTTGTGACTAAGGTGAACTTATTTATTACAGAGATTTTTTATAGGATAAGGGACAGACATCTCAATAAAGAATGAAAATGCAGATGCGTCGTCACCCGTGAGGACTAAGATGGAATTCCTCTTTTCCAGTAAAAAGGGTCTCCGGTTCTCTA